GGGTCACTTGGAGTTCCAGACACTTGGGAGGATGAGGCAGAAGGATCACTTCAGTCCAGGAATTTGAGATCAGCCTGGGAAACACAGTGAGACTGTCTCAGGAATTTATTTACTTAGTTATTGAGACAGAGTCTCACAACATAGCTCAGGTTGGTCTTGAAATCACTAAATAGCCTTGAGGCAATTCTCCTGCCTCAACTCCCAACTGCTGCGATTACAGGCGTGCGCAACCACACTCAATTCCAGTTGTCTCTCGAATTTTTCTGAAAAATCGAATGAAAGGAAACTATTCTCTCACTTGGACAAATGTTTACCCTGTAAAGTTAAGCGAAAAATCACAACAGTATGTACAATATAATACCACCGTTTTTTTTAAAAGGAGAAATAACTGTCCTCCTATACACATATACACACGCACAGACATACAGAGTGGGACACAAAATATTTTCTGTGGTTATATCCAGGTAACAAGATCATGTGTGCATTTGTGTTTCTCCATTTTCTAAGAAGTTCTATATTTAATGTGGATTTTTAAATCATCGGGAAAAATGTGAGAGATGTTAGGCAGGGACAAACCCGATTGTTTCTCTCTCAGCAGGGGCTGCCTGCCACAGATCCTGCCAGGATTCAGTTCACCTGGATGAACTGGCTATGGGTAGACAAGTCCTTCAGTTCCTGGCTGAAGGATGATGGCAAACCCTGACTCTAAGCAGGTCTGGCCTATCCCTGAGACCCAGTGAAGTTCAGCTGAGCCTGAATCTGGGCTCCAGGGACGCAGGCTAGAGCCATGGTTTCTCATCAGATAGTTACGGGTCCCAGGAGGCCAATTTCCAAATAGGAAAGATAAAAATAGTCAGAAAGAGGCTCCTGCACCTGATATTCAGATTCCAAACTGACTGACTCCTTCTGTCCCTTGTCAGAGCTCGAAATACCATCTGAGCCTCTGTTGCCACTGTCACTGCTGTCTACATCTGGACACAGGCTCCTCAGTTCACCCCGCCAAGGGCTGCATCAGATCAACCCTCCTAAAAAAACACCCATGCTCAAAATTTTCCATGGCTCTCAGGAGAGAACCTTATTGAAAATGAATTCTCCTGGGGTGAGGGGCAGCACTTTCTCAACATGCATGAGGCCCTGGAGCCCTGAGCTGGGTCCCCAGTACCAAGGAGAGGTAGGAACTCCTAGGTCAACTAGGAGTTGACCTAGGAAATGACTTAGCAGATCTGGAGGAGTCCCAGAAATCTATAATATCCTCTAGAAGTACAGGTACCCCCTAAAAAATAAAAGCCTGCAGGAATAAACCTCCCCTTGACCCAAAGGCAGCCTTGGTTGGGTTGAAGATGGTAATTCCATGTAGACGAAGGCCTGGATCTGCACCTTATTGCAGACCCTATAGTGGCTCAGTTAGAAATCAGCCTGATCTGATTATGAATAATCTTAGTTCACTGAAATGTGTATGCCTCCAACTTGAGGCAACGCACGTTTTTTTTTTTTGTCTTTTTCTTTTTTATTGGTACCAGGAATCGAACTCTCGACTGCCTGCTTCCAAGGCAGGCGCTTATGCCGCTGAGCTAAATCCCCAGCCCCAGCAATGCACAATTTATAGAGCCAATAAAATTGTTTTCTTACTGTATAAGGGCTTTTTTTTTGAAGGAGGGGGTACTAGGAATCAAACTCAGGTCCTTGTATTTGACAGGCATGTACTTGAACCACTAAGCTATAACTCCTGCCCTTATGGGTTTCCTTCTAGTCCAAGAAAGTTAAGAATTGGAGGGGCTGGGGATTTAGCTCAGCGGCATAAGTGCCTGCCTTACAAGCAGGCAGTCGTGAGTTTGATCCCTGGTACTGAAAAAAAAAAAAAAAGAATTGGAAACAGAGATGGAAGAGAAAATCTTTAGTAATAATCAGTGAATTCTTGGAATCTCAAGTATATGTAACCTGGCCAAAAATTTGATATGCTGAATATCTGACACATACGTATTGTGATTCTGATTTAAGATTAAAATTAAGTTAGATAAAATATCTCCCTAATTAACAGTAGACATGAGTTTTGATTGACAGGTTATTAATGACACTGCTATATATTAAAAATAGTGTCATCCACCCTTAAAAATCTACCCTTCAAAGCAGCCACGGCAGCAAGTAGCAGGCGACCCAGAGAGAGAATCAGCCAGCCAGTGTCTCCCGAGATCTGCTCTGTGTTGGAACTTAGAGCGCTGGGCAACAAAGCAACCTGCTCACCTCCCTAGCAGGCAGCGGTGAGTCCACCAGTGCGTGGGCTGAGAATCAAACACCCTTTCTCTCCCCACCATTAGCAAATGGGAGCCAGAGGTCTGAGCATCTCTTGAGAGGCTGACCTATGCAATATAGCAAATATGGGGGATTCCCTTCTTCCATCTCTTTGAAGACAGAAATGTTGTTTTCACTGTTTTGCTTTGTTCGATTGTTTTGCTCTAATATATTCTGTTTTGATAGGTTTTATAATGTTCTGTTTTTGGCTTGATTTTGCTATACCTGATTGAAAGGGCAACTATTGTGAAGATGAGATATACTCCGGTACCTATTACTGTTATTCAGGTATCCTGCTCTGAAGTTCTGTACCAATTTCACTGCATTGTGTCAATTGGCTTTATTCTGTCTTGTTCTGTTGTATTTTACTACCTTCAAAATAATAAAAAAAGAAAAAAATCTACTCTTCATAATCTGATTTCAAGTCAGAAATAGAGCCTGGGGCGTGTGTGTGTGTGTGTGTGTGTGTGTTTGTGATTTTATGAATCTAAGCAAGTGCTCTACCACTTAGGTAACCCCCAGCAGGAGCCTGCATTTTTAAAAAACTCCTTAGCCCAGAACCACTGACGTAAGAGAATTTGACTAAGTCTCTCAAAAGTACTGAACTGTGTATAAGAACTTGAAATTCAGTATAAGTTTAATTAATTAGATTTTCCTAGTAACTAAGTATCCTTGGGGAAATTGTGCTTGTTAGGTTATGCATGTAGAGTATATAAAAAGAAAATCTAATATATTAAATTTATAAATTGAATTAAAATGTTTAAGGGAAGGTAATTAAGCTGTAAAAAGGGCTAAGTGCTTAAAGGAATTTGGTTTGTTCAATTTGAGTTCAAACACTAATCAAAGGAAAAGTTAAGGTCATTTTTCTTACTTTCATAGATTCATGCATAGAATAATAACTTCAAGTTGAAACTGATAGCTTGAAGAAAATAAGGTTTTAAAAACTATTACTCCAAAATGAGAATTTTAATTTAAAAGATAAAAAATAGTCCAGCCATAGTGGTACATGCCTCTAACCTCAGCAGTCAGAAGGCTGAGGCAGGAGTATTGCTAAGAGTATGAGGGTTAGTGGGTTACCTGGTGAATTCAAAGCTAGCCTGGACCAGCAAGACCCCATCTCAAAAACAAAACAAAACAAAATATAGATGTAAATTAAATGGGCTACACCTTTAACTCATTGTGGTCTTTCCTACTCATCACACTTAAAATGATTCTCTCCTGAACTTCCCAACCAGCCAGAACAGATGGTTGCAGATTCCTACAGGCTCACAACTTCCTGCCCCAAAGAGTTATCAGTATGTGTTGCAAGTAGTAAATAACCACAAAAAGGATAACACATTCTGGAATTAGAACGTTTCACTTTTCTTCCTAGTCCCTTAACTAGACTGTTGCGCTTTACAGTTGAATAAAAATAGGACTCAGAAGGTCTGGACCTGATCAAGGTCACACAGAGTCAGAGGCAGAGCCAGACCTGGAGTCCGGTAGCTGATCCCGAATGTTACCTCTGCCTTGATGTCTCTTGTCTTACATTCAGACCTCTCTTTCTAAACTCCAAAGCCATGTTCCCACTCGCCTTGGACAGCTCCACTTCAACTCGAACCAAAGGTGGCCAAAACAGAACTAAGTTCATTCCTATTGACTTTGCTGTTGAGCTCAAAACTTAAAGATGTTCTTGATTCTTCCTTGCTGCACACCCTGCACACATCTAACTTCCCAAAATACATTTCAAATCTGATCATTACTCTAATCCACATGCTAATCTAAATCATTTTCTTACAACTGATCCACCTGAATAACTTTCTTCTCTTCAGTCCATTTGGAGATCAGTCAAAATGATGACATTAAAATGTAAATTACATCTTGTCATATTCCTGCCCAACACCTTTCAGTGGCTTCCTAAGACACACACACACACACATATGTATATATATATATATGACTCCTTACCATGGGTTACAAGGCCAGACTGGAGCTAATCCAAGCCCACGTTTTCATAGTCCACTCGACTTTCCCTCAAACACCCCAAGAATGCAGCCACCTTAGTACCTTTACTCCAACAATTTCCTGTTTGACCAGTAAGTATAATCAATCCAGGTGTTTAGCCAAGTGTTTAGCCTTAGAGTAGCCACCCAGGCTAAAACAGCACCACCAGTCAGGTGTGGTGTAATCCCAGCTCTTGGGAGGCAGAGGCTGGAGAACTGCTGTGAGAGGTCATCTTGGGCTACCCACTGAGTTCAAGATTTGGCTGAACTACACTACATAGTGAGACCTATCTCAAAAAACAAACAAAAACAAAAACAAAAAAATAGCCGCCACGTCCTTCCCAAGAAGACCATATAGCTTAGTCTGACTGCCGGGGATTTAGCTCAGCGGCTTAAGGGCCTGCCTAACAAGCACGAGGTTCTAAATTCAATTTCCAGCCCCCCTCCCCCAAAATCAAACCATAAACTGTATCTTAGGCTGGCCTTGAGCTCCGCAATCCTCCTGCCTCAGCCTCCCAAGTACAGGGATTACAGAGGTGGACCACCAGACCCAGCTTGTTCTTTAAAACACTAGTTGTGTGTAGAAACACAGGATTTCCCTACCACTGCCCCGCCCCCTCTTCATTTATACACAGTAGACGGCTAGCTCCATGATTGGCTTGTTCACAGCAGAGGACCGAACAAGGCCCATATTAGGGACTGGATAAACATTTAACGAATGCCCCTTACTCGATCGAACACTCCTGCCTTTCCTATTTTCAAGAAGAAATGAGTGGTTCTAGGTCGCCCGTCTGCCAAGCCAGGGTTCCCGGAGGTGTGAGAAACAGGAAGCACGGACAGAACATCCCCAAGGACCCACTTTTGTCACGTCTAGGCCTGCATTCGGGACACGGAACACGGAAAGAAGACGAAACATTAGCCGGGGACCCGCCGGAAGGCCAGGTGCCCTTCCCCCTCCACCCATTCCTCAACCCAAAAATGATGGGACGCACAGAACTAGAAGGTAGAGCCAAGCATTCCAATGTTGGAAAGGAATACAACTCGCCCCAGACATCCCGCCAAGGAAGCTACCTGGCTCCTTGGGGCTAGACCGCTGCAGCCCCTCCTCTTGAGGCCTTGCGTAGCGCACTGCTTGCCGGGATTCGTAGTTGATAATCAGCCCACTATTCCCAGAAAGCTTTGGGAGGCTAAATTGAAAGTGTGGGGAGAGGCGGGGAAAGCGCGAGGCCTTCTGGGAGTTATGGTTCAAGTAATTAAGGATCAAGAAATCATTGAGAAGAAAAAACGAGTAACAAAACTTACAACACTTTGACTGTGATGTTTTGAATCTTAGGAGATGCTTTCCCTCTCTCTCAGGCCAGCTGTTATATCCGTGGTTCAAGACGATGACTTCTGTGATCCTAATAAACTACCATTCCCATAAGGCATTGCACATAAATGCATTTGGAGCGTGTAGTCGACTTCGGCGCAGGCGCAGTGGCTGGAGTTCGGCAGTGAGGAAACATGGCTGGTCCGACTGCTGTTTCGAGATTGTACTCCCTGCTGTTTCGTAGAACTTCGACTTTCGCCCTCACCATTGCCGTGGGCGCCTTGTTCTTCGAGCGCGCCTTCGACCAAGGCGCAGATGCGATCTACGAGCACATCAACGACGGGGTGAGGGCCTGGGCCATCCTGACCTTGGGCCTGGCAGAATAGTGGGAGTGGAAATTGGGCGGGACTCAGTCTACCTTCACCAGTAAGGGGGTAAAAACTGTAGATGGGGTAAAAACTAGTAGATGGAGAATGCCATCTATCCTCTCCATCTAGTGTGAATCTTAAAACGTTAAAAAAAAAGGGGGGGATGTACTTTATAGGGGTCATATTGATATATCCCATCCCACAACCTCACTTTGTTCATTTGTAGAAGCGAAACTTAAACCTTTGATAGCAAAAGACCTACTAAGTGTTCACCACCAGTAGTAAGTCAGAGAAAAGTGAGGGTTGAAACTTTAACCTCTGCCTCCTTTGAGGGTGTAAGCGCCAACTTGAGCCCTTGAAAAGGACAGCTCCTTAGGCGCTGTAGCTGACCTTTTATTTTATTTTTTATTTTTGGTACTTGTAATCTAACTCAGGACCCTGTGCTTGCCAGGCAGGCGCTAATGCCGCCGAGCCATATCCCCAGCTCCTGTGGCTGATCTTTTAAAATTTCAAGCAGGGCGGGGTGATGTTCACCTATAATCCTAGAACTCAGGAGGCTGAGGCAGGAGGATTGCTGCAAGTTTGAGCTTTCGTGGGCTACCTAGTGAGTTCAAGGCCAGCCTGAGTTACGTAGTAAGACCTTGTCTCAAAAAGCAATTTTTAAAAAATTGCTCTTTGGATTCCCAAGCCTTTCCCACATAGATAGCTTGTTTTGTTTTGTTTTTTTCGACACAGTGTCTTGCTTGGGAATTCAGCCTGGTCGTGAAGTCACTTTGTAGCCCACAGCGGCCTTGAACTCAAGGCATCTTTCTGCCTCAGCCTCCTGTTGCTGGGATGACAGGCATGTGCCACTATACCCAGACGACAGTTTGATATTAACGGTTAACAGTGGGGCTATTTTTTCTCCAAAATTCATTTTTAAAATTTTATTTATTTATTTATTCTGTGGTGCTTTGAGACAGGATCTCCACACTGTGCAGGTGGGCTGGCCTTGAGCTCACTTTGTAGCTCAGGCTGGTCTCCAATCTACAGTGATCCTCCTGCCTCTGGCTCCCAAATGCTGGGATTACAGGCAGGAGCCACCACACCCAGCTCTACAAATCCATTTTATTTCAAAAAGGAGAAAAAATAGACTGAAATCAAAGTGTCCTGCGTGGGAATACTAAGCCTTGTCACTTAATAACCATGGCATTAAGTTGGACATGTTTCTTAACTTCTCTTCAGTTTTATCTGTGAAATAGAGGCCATAATAGTAACTGCCTCAGTGAATCAGGTAAGGTGCCCTTAGGGCCTGATATGTGGTCCCATTGAAAAATACCATTCTCTGCATTGCTCGGGGGAAAAAGTAGAAGGATAAAGTAGGAATAACAACACTTTGTAAACTTGTTATGTGTTGAACCCTGCTAGGTTCTGTTCATGCTTTGTATCATTAGATTTTGGCCATACTGTACTTGTGTTTTTAAAGGCTATCTGACACTACATCCCAGGAAAGCTCTCTCCACTAATGTCATACTGCCCATGGTTAGGGCAACTTCCCATCCATATAAAAATGTTACCCCCATCCTGTCTTTGGCATTGGTTTCCTTTGGTCATTTCCACTAACCTGGAAAGGCATCTGAGTACCTTGCTATATCCCATCAATTACTGTGTTTGGAGCCATTCTCTCAATCTGTCGTTTAATTTCCTGTAAAAGTAAGATTGTACCTTCCTACTTCACATAATGATTGAGAGCACCGTAGTATTTTATAAAGGTTTAGAATTGTGTGCCAAGCCTGGTGTTGCTTCCATCCTATCCACCACCACTGCATTTTTAATCAGAACATAGCATTGGTTTCTTTCAAGCTTGTTTTAGTTGTGCAGTGGCTGTAGTTGTAAAATGTAAGAGCAAAGGTTACAGTTTGTCTTTCTTGTCTTTTATATGCAGAAGCTGTGGAAACATATCAAGCACAAGTATGAGATCAAGGAGTAGTTCCTTGCCTCCCAGGGACCAGAAGGACCAGGTCTGCCTACTAGCTGTCTGCGCAGAGCTAGGGGCTCAGTTCTTCACAGACTACCTGTAGCTGTTGGCAAGGAATGGCTCCACCTAACAGACTGTTTAACTTCTACTGTGTTTGAAGTGTGTTTATTCAGAGTTACCAGCAAATAAATGTAAATTGGCCTTGAGACCTGCTGTTTGCTTTGGGTGCTTTGTTGACTCTCAGCTTCACATTTCAGTGAATTCACATTGATTGCACATCAAAGCTTTCTGCAAACATGTAAAAGGACATAGACTCTGCCATTTGGAGTCTTCCATTAATTTCCAAAGAACTGGTTTTCAAAATATGAGCCTAGTTGGAGTTAATACCTTCAACGTTGGCCTCTAACCCACAAGTGTCATTATTAAATCACAGAAAGGTTAGTTTAACCATTCTGCCTTGCAGAAGCACTGTGGCATGTGCTAAGTAAAAAAGGCTTGTCCTGGAAGTCTTGAGCCAGTCCCAGCCTCAGGCTTTTATGTCTGTTCTGCCTTTTAACTTGCTGAATGTCTTTTGGTGAGCTACCTTACCCTTCTGGGCCACAGCCTCCTGCCAAAGTTCCCCTCTGGTGAGTTTGGTTTACCAGGATGCTTAGTTGGGTTTGAATCAAAGGCAGGCACTCAGCCTTGCTGAACTGCCTTGTCTGTAAACTAGAGATAATAATTCCTACTGCATGGAGATTTCGTAAGTTTTAAAAGAAGTTGTAATGCTGTTAGGGTGATTATATGTCTGGCATGTGGAGGAGTGCCAGTAAAAATGGACAGAGACATTCCACCCTGCCTTTGGTACTGGGGAATGAACCTAGGGCAGTGGTGACAAACTTACGGTATGCATGTGGCAGCAGACTATCATTGGAAAACCCTTAAAAGGTTCACCATCACTGACCTAGGCTAAGGTGCACACTCACCCTTTTTTTTTTTTTTTTTTTTAATGTTTTATTTTGAGACAGGGTCTGGCTAAGTGGCTGAATTATCTAGGCTAGGCTCAGATTTGTGATCCTTCTGCCTCAGCCTCCTAGAATGCTGAGATTATAGATGTATACCACCATGCCCTTTGTTAATGGATTTTTATGTGCTTTTTGTTTTGTTTTATATCAGGAATTGAACTCAGGACCTCACATTTGCCAGGCAGGCACTTATGCCACTGAGCTATATGCCCAGTGCTGTAAACAGATTTTAAGGGCCCAGCCTGGACATTCTTTTTTTTTTGGTACTGGGGAGCGAATTTACAATCTTACCAGGCAAGCACTTGAGCCGCTGAGCTAAATCCCTGGCAATAAGCAACTTTTTTTTTTTTTTTGTGCCAGGCATTGAACTCATGACCTTGAGCTTGCTAAGCAAATGCTTGTGCCGCTGAGCTAACCCCCTGGCCAGCCTGAGCATTCTGCTAGAAGACTAGAACAGTAGGAATGTAAGGAAGAGAGGTTTGAGGACCATTGTCTTGTCATTCAGCAAGTGTCTGGGGGCCATCGTGTTGCTCTAGCATGTAGGAAACAGCATGTGGAGCTTGCTCCTAGGGAGTAGATGCTGTAAACCTCACCTGTGTTAGTACGGACTGGACCCAAGGGAACAATGCGAGGAGGGAATAATCAGGATTTCCTTCAAAAAGCCAAAATCTGGAGGTGGTAAATCTGAGCCACATAAATTGGGTGTTGGAGGAAAAGCAAAGAAAGCAGCAGGTTTGAAGGCAAGAATGTCAGAGAAAGGCATTTGCTATGAGGATCAAAAAAGGCCTAGATCGGGGCAGGGGATTTAGCTCAGTGGCATACGCGCCTGCATTGCAAGCAGGCAGTTGTGAGTTCGATCCCCGGTACCGATAAAAAAAAAAAAAGACAAATAAAAGAGGCCTAGATGGCTGAAGAAAGTCCGAGGTGGAGAAGTAAATGAGATTAAATCACTGAAGACAGTGTGTGTGTGTGTGTTTCTTTGAGACAGGCTGGCCTTGAGCTCACTTCATAGCTGAGGCTGGTGTCAAACATGCAAGGATCTTCCTGCCTCAGCCTCCCAAGTGCTGGGGTCACAGGCTTGTGCCACCATGCCTGGACAAAAAAAGAAAAATGAGATTCAAAACAGTAAAAGGACAGTTACAATACTTAATACATTGTGTACTCAGAGTACAGGACATAAGCATGATACCTAAACAATATTGGCACAAAATATTCTTTTCAAGGGACAAGCTGTTTAACTACCTTAACTATCTTGTATATACTTACGGGGAAAAACTCAGCAGGAAGACGAAGCATGCCTTCCCGCTATGGGGTTTGGGAGGAGATTGTTTTTGTCTTTTTGAGACATGCCTGGCAAAACCAGTGAACATTTTTGAAGAGTTATTCTGTGTTAGCCAGCAGTGCATGATGACAAGCTCCAGGTGGGACACATTCCCAGAAGGACTCTGCCCAAGCAGCAAGTATATCCATCAGTTAGCCTACAGTTAAGATGCACCATTATTTTTCCCCAGCTTTTCTGGTGACAAAAAAAAAGTTAGCTTGGTCACCCTGATAGCTGCATTAGTGTAAT